TGGTTCTGCCCAGTACAAATTCAGCGTCTAAACAGAATCTTGAAGTACTTGCTCTTCTCAGCAGAAACTGCAGAGCTAAATGCAGTGGAAATTAAATTTTGGTTGCTTTTTTCATGGTTTTATAAAAGAGCCAAGTCTCTCTCTCCCTCTCTCTCCTTAAATTTTCAACAATCAGTTGCTTCAGTTCAGTATGTGCGTTTCCTCTTATTACATTTAAGCACGCTTGATGAAACCACCTGGTCCCTTTCTCACACCTTCCTTCCCACGTTCATTGGAGCCTTCTCTCCTTGCAGTCATGTCCTTTTTTCATGGTTTTATGAAAGTCAGTCTCTCTCTGACATACGCCCACCCTCCCTCCCTAAATTTTCTACAATCTTACATTTAAACAAGTTTTAAGAATCCACCTGTCCCTCTCTCGCACCTTCCTTCCCGCCTTAATTTGAGCTTTCCACCTCTGGTGGAAGTATTCATTCACAAGCCGGATTGACTGCCCTGGGCTGTTCTACAGCCGTAAACAATAAAGCAGCCTTATCTCCAATCTCTGAAAGAACTGATTTACAAGTGCAGCAACCAAGGAAGGTAACAGGGACAGGTGGCTTACAGTTTGAGGAGGTGGGGGTTACAGCTCTGCTCATTACCCCCAGGATTTTCAATTTTACCCCATTTGGGGTAATTTACCACTGTTCCCTGACCACTGATCTAGGAAATGTCAGTTCCTCTCTTTCTATTTTCTCCTCTGGAAAGGCATGCATCGAAATATCAGTTCCTCTCTTTCTCTCTATTTTCTCCTCTGGAAAGGCATGCATCTTCTTCAATGTAGGTTGCACTAAGCCACCTCCAACATTAGCCAGAGCACCTGATGCCCTCTGGGCAGTTTTTGACAGGAAATTCTGGCCTCCTCCTTTATTCCTCTTGCTCAAATGAATAGGTGTGCAGTCTCTTTGTGTTTCCCTCTGTTTTTGTCCTCTCTTCCCCACATTTTTTCCTTCATGCGTGTGTCTATGTGAATTTACCCCTCTCATTCTGTTCTCCCAATCTGTTCCCCTTTCCTGACCTTCTCCCTGTTTTCCCCTTTCCCTTTGTTTTGGCCCTCTGTCTCTCCCTGCCACACTCTTTTTCTCTCTGTTCCAACCTGTTTCCCAAACTCCCCATCTCTATTTCCTGCCTCTGTTCCCCATTCTCTGGTTTGACTCTTATCTTTTCTTCAACTCTGATTTCCCTTCCCCCCTTATTCTCTCTCTCTCTCTTTGGCCTTTCTGTCTGTTCTTTTTCTCAAGAGAGGGCTAGTTACATATGCTACAGGAGCTGTTTTGTGGTTATAACCACACACCCCCTTTTAAAAAACCAAAAATCTCAGAGGTGAGAAATCCTGGTTTAAATTGTATCTGTACCTGAACTCTGCCTACGTAATTCTAAATTGGGGGGAAAAAACAGAAAAGGAAATTTTGTTCATTTCCTCTCTGTTCTTTTTCTCAAGAGAGGGCTAGTTACATATGCTACAGGAGCTGTTTTGTGGTTATAACCACACACCCCCTTTTAAAAAACCAAAAATCTCAGAGGTGAGAAATCCTGGTTTAAATTGTATCTGTACCTGAACTCTGCCTACGTAATTCTAAATTGGGGGGAAAAAACAGAAAAGGAAATTTTGTTCATTTCTTGGTAACGACTTACGATATTTTACAAATGTCTTTTTAAATAGGATGGGGGAAAAGGTGTGACTTAACAAAAATGCCCTCCTTTTGCTCCTTGCAAGCTCTTCATCTTTCCCAGCAACATGCAGATAGACCTTGGTTGTTTCCATATTGGGAACAGCTGTGCCTAATGAATTAGCTGTGCTGCTGTTTGCAAATGTCTCCGTAAACATGTCACAAAGAATCTGTGGCTTTAAAAATGCTGGGGGAAAAGCTAAAAATAAAACTGTGGAATGCCAATAAGCTTCTCAAGTGGCTTCATTCCAAAATAAACTAGACCTGGGTGGAACGTCTCACTGCTCAAAATGAAGGTGAGAATTGACACTGTTAAGCCACTTAGGACCTCAGTAGATGTGACATTGGGGAAAACCTCCAGACAGTTGTACTCTGTTTCCCTCTGCCAAATGGTAACCTGACGTTTTGGATTTTGGTTCTCAATCCATTCAATCACATGTTATGGAAACTGTGCTGTCCTGTGGTTCAATGCTCCCCCCTCCTTTTTTTGTTTCCTTTTCTTTCTTTAATTGTAGAGTTAAAGAGGGAGGAAAATGGATCAGCCATTTGCAAAAATTGTACCATGCTCTAGCATTCCCCTTAAGCGAAAGGGTGGTCCAGGGGCATTGAAAGCCACTGTTATTGATTCCATTGCTAGCATGATGTCCTCACTTTCTCCTGCTGAGTGCTTTCATGCTAACTTCAAATCTGTGTGCCCAGGCCCAGGAATGAGCATGCATGCAATTTCTGCTCTGAAACAGTCAATTGTGTGGTAATGAAACACCTGTTTTTCAAACAGTAGAACAAAATTGGCAGCCCCCCACTTTACTGCCCATGCTTTGTTTTGGTTTTTCATGGGAGATAGCACAACTTTGCATGTCCGATGTCTCTGCCGTGAAACACTGAAAGATTTACCTTGCCTGGAGGGATAAAGCTGTAAGAAGAGAATATGTTTTTGCCTCAAGATGTGAGCTGACCGTCATTTAAGACTATTGCTGAAGGAAGACAGAACTGAGGCATGCTTTTAAAAAAAAATTATGAGAGCCTCATCCAACTTTCAAATCATATCCTCCATTTGGCCTTGCTCCTTGATGTCACCAAGTTGAGCAGTGAGCATGGACATCTGAAACAAGGTGGCTCCACAATGGGAACGAATGACCCAGAAGTTGCAATTGCATGAAATATGTAAATTTGTGTGTGTGGAGCCACTTCTTTGCCAGTGTCTGCACTCAGGCTTGCCAGGTCAACAGTGCCCCATTCCCTGAGATTTGAAGGGCAAAGCTTGGCAGTCCCTTGGGATATCGTCTCATGCACCCCTGTGATTTCACAGACTCTTAGCAAACATTGCAAAATGGCATGTGTGGGATAGATTATGTAGCAATTCTTTGATGAATTTAAGGACCAGCATTTGGATTCCAGCAGTAGCAGCAGCATCTGTTGAGCGTGCCAGATAATGAAGAAGACAAAGATACTTCTGAATGTGTCTAAATAGCTGTCCTGAAGCCATGAGGATGAACTCCAAAATATAGGGTTGCCAGTATTGGCAATGTTTTATGTTTAGTTTAAAATACCCTTTGATAAAAAGAACTACATAATATTTTGTTATTTGCTAGTATCTTGTGTATTTATCCTTATTGTTATTCTTGGATATGCATTTCCATTGTTTCTTTATGGCTCACCTAAGGTTTTCACCATTTGTTCTGTGAAATCAAAGTTACAGATTTCTAGGAGTGCAAGTTTTAACTGTTGCAGAGTGACCTATTATATTAGGGGAAGCAGTGTATGTTTCTGGCCATTATTTCCTTGGGTCTCAGGTCCAGATGCTCTTTTCTTCTAGAAAGTCAGAAACCCTCCCACCATGACAAAAGGAATCTTTTAGGACAATATGAAAGAAAAGGAAGCAGAGATGAATTTCAGCCATAATGTTATTTCCCAATGATAATATTTCTATGGACTGAGTTTCTACCTATACAGTATTAAGTTTTTTTTTAAATTGCTGAGCGAATCTAGCCATATTTTCTTAAATAAAGCTAAATCTAATGAAAAATATTAAATGAACCACATATGGAAAGTCTATTTGCTGTATTTAATATATGAGGATGCTTTTTATCTCTATATAGTAAGTTCACCTGCTCATTCACTTTATATTCGTATTCTTTTGCCGGAACAGAATTTTCTACTTAGGGGATTTTAACACAGGTTTGTAGGAGTT